GCCCCCCGCCACCCGCGCCCGCCGCGCCGGACCCCGCGCCGCTCACCTGGCCGGCGCGGTAGCTCTCGAAGGCCTTCAGGGCACTGTCTGTGAGCTTCACGTGGAACACGGACACCTTGCTGCCGTCGCTCACCCGCCCGCACGACAGCCCGTAGCTCCGAGCCTCCTTCAGCGCCGCCATCTTGCGACCATCAATCCCCCGCCCCCCCTCCCGGCTCCAGCGCCGGCGCGCCGGCCCCGCCCCGTCCCGCTGCCCGCCGACGTGCTGCATTATTCATGAGGTGAGGTTGGTCACGCCCCCCCCAGCGCCACTGCACCAACAGCCGCTGCCGCACTGCCCGCCGACGTGCTGCATTATTCATGACACATAGATGGCCACGCCCTCTGCGTGCCCGATGAGCGCCACAGTCTCCGCCCCTAACTACTGCATATTCATAATACGCAGATGGCCCCACCTCTCCAGGCCCTAGAGGCGGACACTTCCGCGCTGTAACTCCGCCTCCCCACGCGCACCCCTCCAGGCCCCGCCTCTATGTATTATTCATAAACCTGACAGGACGCCGGCTAAAGCCCCGCCTTACAGACCGCTGACGTATGCATTATTTATGAGATCTCTGGGGTCTTCCGTCTTTGGCTTTGGTAGGGCGCCGAGGAGAGGGCGTGTGGGAGGCGGGACTCGAGGCCGGCCTGGCGGCTGGGCGTGGCTATGTAAAGGAGCTGCGCGTTGGACGCTGGGTTGGGCCGCTGCGGCTTCCCTTAAGGTGGGCGGCTGGGATTCCCGGCCGTGAGGCTGCGGGAAAGCTGGGAGGAGGAGGAGGATCCGGGAAACCTCCTAGGACCAGAGGAGACTTCCAGAAGGCTGAAACCCAACTCCCCACAGTCCTCGCCCATGGTAGAGTCCAGCGCAGTTTCCAAAACATAACTTCGTTGGTTTTTAAATCTTATTTTTCTTCGCTGCTGGGGATGGAACCCAGGGCCTTTTGCTGTTTTGTTTGTATGTTTTTGGGTTTTGTTTGCTTGCTAACCCACCGCTTTGACACTGCACTGCATAATCAGCGCGCCCCCCCCCACGGCCTTTGTGTGTGTGTGTGTGTGTGTGTGTGTGTGTGTGTGTGTGTGTTCTTGAGACGATCTCGCTATGCAGTTCCGGCTGGTCTTGAACTCACTTTGTAGCCCAGGCTGGTCTCAAATTCGCGACGATCCTCCTGCCTCAGCCTCCCACAGTGCTGGGATTACAGGCGTGCGCCACCACGCCAGGCGGTACATCTTCCCTTACAATTCAATGGCCTTTACTACATTTGCAATGTTGTCATTACTGGGCCTCTGCCAACACTCCCTTCGCCTCTCCTAGCCCCTGGCTGTCACTAATCTGCTTCCTGTCTTTGGATTCACCTTTAGTTTGATTTTTCTGTGTGTTTTCAAGGTTCATTGTCCTCATAGCATGTATCAATACCTCGTTTTGTGGGTTTTTCCTCCTTTTGGTTTCTTTCAGACAAAACCCAAAGGCCGGCCTCCGACAACAATCGTCCTGCTTCAGCCTCCCAAGTGCTAGGATTACAGGTGTGTACCAGCACACCCGGCTCCTTCTTCATGACAGAATAATATTCCGCTGTAGGGACCCATCACATTTTGTGTGTCCACTCACCCTTTAAGAGACGTTTGAGTTGCTTCTGCTTTCTCACTCTGATGAGTGGCCCCTGTGAACATTCATGCACATGGTATTTTGTTTTTGTTTTCAGTGCTGTTGACTGACGCCAGGGCCTCGGGCACGCTAAGTAAGCACTCTTCCTCTGGGCTACGCCCCCGTCCACACTAACACATTTTTCTCTCTCAGCTTTGGGTTGTAAGCCGGGAATGGAACTGCTGGGTCACACGCTGCGCGGGACCTGTCGGGGAGGTGCTGGACCGCACCCCGCGAGCCACACAGTTTCACCCGTCTCTGTTAGGACTCCATGGGAAGCCAGAGCTAGGCTCAGCCCCAGCCTCCTTGCGCCAATGAGCAGGAACCTTCCAGGACCCCGCTGTCCCGACCCCTGGACACCTGGGTCCTCGTCCCTGTCACTGTAACTGAAGCCTGGGCAGCAGTCACTACGGCTGCTACCCTGCAGCGGCGCTGGGGCCCGGGCCAGTCAAGCCTCACTTGGAGAGGGAGCGGTGGGGGCGGGCAGTGACCGGCTCCAGCGCGCTCCTTGACGCCCTGCACTTGGGCCCCCAGCGTCCACGTTCTGGGACTCCACCAACCGCAGGCTGAGCCGTTCAGCAAAACACCACAGCTTCTGCTCTGAGCAGGAGCAGGCTTCTTCCTGCCGCAATTCCGTAAGCGGACCCTGCAGGAACGCCGTTTCCACCCTGCGCCCGCCCTGCACTCGCTGTCACACATCAGGAGAGGATAGCAAGGCCACAGCACACGGAGAGGCTGTCGCTCAGGAGCAGGGCGCTGCTTAGCACCCCCAGGCCCTGGGCGCCATCCCCAGCATCACAGAAGCAAATAGGCTGGCACAGTGGTGGGCTACTACAGTCCAGCTACTCAAGAGGCTGAGGCAGGAGAATCCCTTGAGTTCAGGAGTCTGAAATGAACCTGGGCAACATACCAAGATCCCATCTCCCCCGAAACATAAAAAAATAGCCGGGTGGGGTAGCCCACACCTGTAAGCATTGCGCTGTGGAAGGCTGAGGCAGGAAGACTGCAAGTTTAAGGCCAGCCCCAGCAATTTAGCAATTTAGGGTGTGCTGAGTGAATAAAGGAGTTCATTTGTTGCTGCCAAGGCGTCTATCAGCTGCCTCCTGGGCCCAGAGCTGAGGCCTAAGGAGGCTGCTGTGAGGTGACAACCCTGGCTGTGGCCACCCAGGCAAGTGTGGAGAAGAACATTCTTTGATTAGAATGCATTGAGGACACAATGATTTGTTTAACTTTGAGTTTATGATCCTCCTGTCTCAGCCTCTTGAATGCTGAGATTATAGGCATGTCTTGGGGCCCAAGGACAAACAATATGGGGAGTTACCAGACATTTCCAGTCAGCAATGACTACGACCACGTCCAAGCAGAGTCAGTGATCTCTGCCGCAACCAGGGGGAGCGCAGCATTAGACATCCCCTTCCCTAAGGGGCGGGGGATTTAGCTCAGCCGCACATCATCTGCCTGGCAAGTGCAAGGTCGTGAGTTCGATTCCCGGTACTGAAAGAAAACAAAAACAAACACAAAAAAATAGATATCCCCTCCCTAGAGAATATTAGGTTATCCCCTGCTTTAGGAATTCAAAAGATCAGAACTGGGCTTTATGGGCCTCTACCTGAGAGATCTGTTTGCTAGTGGGAAGAAGTAGTTTGACTTCTAAAGGATTTTAGTACAAATGGGGGTGACAGACTCTGACTGTAAGGATGAGATTCAGGTTATGATGCAGACCTTACAGCCACATCAAACTGAAGCAGGAGAGCATATAGCCCAGTTACTGATTCTTCCATCTATAAAAGGCCATGCTGCTCCTATAGAGCGTGTAGGGGGTTTTGGCAGCACCCGAAAAAAAATTTTTGGCAAACTTGCATAGCGGACGAAAGACCTGAGTTACAACTGAAAATAGATGGAAAAGTTTTTATGGGATCGGTAGACACAGGAGCAGATGGGACTATAATTTCATGGCTACACTGGCCTAAACTTTGGCCCACAAAGAAGGTGCCTACAGTTTTCTCTGGTGCTGGGACAATGACAGATGTTCCCCAGAGTGTTAATATGCTTCAGATTTCTGGTCCAGAAGGACAAACAGGCACTTTAAAACCATATGCTGCTGATACAGCAGTGAATCTATGGGGAAGATTTATTTATTTTTATTTTTTTTTTGGTTTTGGTTTTTTTTCTCCGGTACCGGGAGCCGAACTCACGACCTTGCGCTTGCCAGGCAGGTGCTTTGCCGCTGAGCTAAATCCCCAGCCCCTGGGGAAGATTTATTAATGCAGTGGGGAGCACATGTGAGCATTTCACGTATATCAGGCAAAGACTACGATGGCTCAAATGCATTATAATTCTTGTGAAGCCAACGGTTGTGTACAAGCTCCTGTAATTTCCAAAGGGACACGTGGTGTAGGGTACCCAAACTTATGATAGAGACCGCTGTAGAAAAGGGCTTCACTTTATCTTTAAAATGGCTTACTAGTAAGCCAATTTGGGTTGAGCAGTGGCCTCTTCCAAAAGAAAAATTAGAAGCCCGAAGATCATTAGTATAAGAACAACTGTCAGAAGGACATAGTGAGGAATCTACTAGCCCCTGGAGTTCCCCTGTATTTGTAATTAAGAAGAAATCAGGTAGGGCCTGGGGATTTAGCTCAGCGGCACAGCACCTGCCTGGCAAGCGCAAGGTTGTGAGTTCGATTCCCGGTACCGGAAAAAAAAAGACAAAAACAAAAGAAATCAGGTAAATGGAGAATGCTCACAAATCTTAGAAAAATTAATGAAGTTATTCAATCCATGGGTCCATTACAGCCTGGATTACCCTCTCCTGTTATGATACCTAAGAACTGGAAGTTAATGGTTATAGAGCTTAAGGATTGTTTTTTTACCATTCCATTACGACCAGCAGATAGAAAAAAGTTTGCATTTACTGTACCTACTTTTAATAACCAGGAGCCAGTAAAAAGATATCATTGGAAAAGATATGTCCCTCAAGGAATGCTAAATAGTTCAATGTTCTGCCAATATTATGTTAACAAACCTTTAGAATTATTGCGGGAAAGATTATACACTATATAGATGATATTCTTTTTCCTGCTAGCTCAGAAAGGTATTTACAGGAAATCTTCTGTGTAGCCAAGCAGTTGTTGATTGACTTTGGCCTACAGATAGCCCCAGATAAAATTCAGACCAACTATCCTATTGCTTATTTAGGTCATGTTCTTCAAAAACAGCAAATAATCCCCCCCAAAATGAGTATTTGTAGAGACCAGCTTCTCACCCTTAATGATTTTCAAAAACTACTAGGAGATATTAATTGATTACGACCTTCTTTAGGCATTCCTACTTAACACCTTTTTATTTATTTATTTATTTTTGTTGTTTTTTTCCGGTACCGGGAATCAAACTCATGACCTTGCGCTTGCCAGGCAGGTGCTGTGCCACTGAGCTAAATCCCCGGCCCCTGCAACACCTTTTTAATACTCTTAAAGGGAACCCAGCATTAGATAGCTCTTGCCGCCTTACAACAGAAGGAGAAAAAGAATTAGCCTGGCTAGAACAACATATAAGTCAAACTCAGCTAACCCTATGGATTTATCTAAACCTTGTTATAGTCTTAATTTTTCCATCATCCCATTCTCCTACGGCTATATTTTGGCAAAAAGCAGCAGTTCTAGAATGGATATTTCTTCCACACAAGGAACAGAAGCGACTCACTACTTATACAGATAAAATAGGTTTAATTGTGTTTAAAGGTCGAGCTCGCTTACGACAGTTAGGAAAAGACCCTGAATCTATTGTTTTTTCCTTGACAAAGCAGCAGATGGATCAGGCATTACAAATGAGTGAACAGCGACACATTGGACTTGCCGGTTATATTGGAAAAGTAGACAACCATTTCCCTAATTCTAAACTTTCACAGTTCCTAAAACGGCATGACTGGATTTTACCTCAAATTGTGCGCTCTGAACCTACACCAGCAGCAGACACATATTCCACTGATGGTGGCAGCAATGGGAAAGCCGGATATGTAGAAAGAATTTCAAAAGTATGGCATGCTCCTTTTCATTCTGCACAAAGAGCAGAACTCCAGGCAGTGACCCAACTCTTACTAGATGTTCCAGAATCCATTAGTATTGTTACAGACTCCCAGGATGTGTGGTTCACAGTTGATCATACACGAACAGCTACTTTGTCAAATGATACTGAACTTAATCAATTGTTCTGCCAATTATAAATTAATATTCGTCATAGAGATTTTCCTATTTACATAACTCATATTCGTTCTCATTCACCCCTTCCTGGTGACATGGTTAAATAGAATGATGAAGCTGATAAACTTGTTGCTATTTCTTCACCAGATTGTTTAGCCACTGGATTTCATGCTTTAACTCACGTGAATACCAAAGGTTTACGTTAAAAAATTTCCTCAACTTTCCATTCAACAAGCTTGCAAGGGGCTGGGGACTTAGCTCAGTGGCACAGCGCCTGCCTGGCAAGCGCAATGTTATGAGTTCGATTCCCAGTACTGGAAAAAAAACAAAAAACAAACAAACAAAAAAACAAGCTCGTGAAATCATTTTATCCTGTCCTACTTGGAGAATGCTTAATAGTCCTACTTTTCAGCCTGGAACAAATCCTAGAGGCTTGCAAAGTAATGAGTTATGGCAAATGGATGTAACACATATTCCTGCTTTTGGGAAACTTGGACTTGTACATGTTATTGACACTTATTGTGGCTTTGTATGGGCCTCTGCACAATCAGGAGAAAAATTTGTACATGTGAAAAATCGTTTGTTAGAGTGTTTTGCTATTATAGGTAAACTCAAAGCAATTAAAACTGACAGTGGACCTGCTTATGTGTCATATTCCTTCCAGCAATTCTGTGCCTTGTGGGATATCAGTCATTATACTGGCATTCCATGTAATCCTCAAGGGCAAGGTACGATTGAAAGGGCACATGCTACTCTTAAATTGATGTTAGCTAAACAAAAAGGGGAAGATGGGAATAGAAGTTCACCACTCCAATTATTACGTGAAGCCCTATTCACTTTACATTTTTTGGATATTAGTAAAGATTCATCTACTGCAGCAGCAGAAAAATTTGGGGCCACCCTTATTAAGGGGCCACCAGAACCAATAAGACAACCCATCTTTTGGAAAGATACCCACACTGGAAAATGGGAAAGAGGTATTGTTCAAATTTGGGGGAGAGGATTTGCTTGTGTCATTACAGATTCAGGAGAAAAAGTGTGGTTACCTGCTAGAAGAATTCAACCTCGACACGAGCCACGAAAGAGTCAGATTCTATCTGAATCCTCGGGTGGAAGCAATGAGAGCGATGTCATTACAGCACCACCCCCAGACACCAACCGAGAGCACTCAGAAAGCACAACCCCCCACCTGGGGACAACTTAAGAAATTCACCCATGACGCGAGAAGCTGCTGGACTCCCCTAGACAAGACTTGATGGCTGGTAATATGTTTATAGCGATGTTGGCCGTAATAGCCGCTACGGTAGGCCCTACAGAATTGGGCATAGATGCCTGCGCCAATTTATGTTAATGAATCTAGATGGCTTCCCGGTCCATAGGACACACGGGGAACATTAATAACAACAGAAAGTCACCAGTGTTCTCAGGATAAAATACAAAATGTACATGTTCTTCGTAGATGAAAGATTCTATTCCTTCCAAAACTTTTCTAAGAGATCTCTGCTGATTGACAACAAAATCTGACGTCTATTTAAATTATAAATTTCTAAAATTATAATAGAATTACTGTAATTCAATTTGGTCAAACATATATTTGAGTGCACTCTGATTCTATGTAGATGTGTACTTGTTTGCGTGTTTGTCATTCTGGGGACAGCTGTTCCCCTTTATTTTGAACTCAACAATTTTTTTAATAATACAGTTGGGTTATAGATTTAAAAACATGTTTTCACTTAAGTTACCAGCTGGTTTAAATGATATCAAAATTAAGATATTTTAGCCACAGTCCTTAGGGTGAGGAGAAATTATTGGGTGGGACTCCAGTTGGTGAATAGAGGAGTGGCCAACCCTTATTATTAATAAGGAGCCCCCAGTGATCTCCACAGTCTCTTGGGAGATACCCCAATAATTGGACCATTTGGTCAAAAGCAAGTTTTTCAGTAAAAATTACAGTAAGGTTTTCTCATAAAAGATACTCTTGGTACAAAACTAATTTTAACAAAGGTTTTCACATGTGTATGGTAATTCATTAGTACTAATCTCTTGGTGTATTTAATGTATTCATGATTCTGGATCTACAGATTTTCCAAAATGTAAAACAAAGACTGTTTATCCTGATAAGACTTTCCTTCAGATTAAGACCTCTACCTTTAACAAAAACATGTGACGTGTATCCCATTAAAGGATATCTTCTTATGTATAAGATTAATTGGTCATGTTATGTCAAAACGAAAATTTAAGTATGTTACAAAATGTCATCATGATTGTCATGTAGCAATGTTACATACGGGGTTTTTTTTATATGTATAGTCTTGATTTCTAAACTTCTGGGTAAAAATATGTAACTGTTATTTGTTAACATTCTATTAGGATTTATACATTAGGATATCCATGGTTGTTAGAAAATAATGATTCCATTTCTACGTTCTAAGGTGTTTGCTATTCAGATCAGATTGTAATATTAAGCTTACTGCCTCCCTTACAATGCTATGTCATTAATCTTCTCTGCTGATGTTTAACAACTGAGGTTTGGAGACCATAAATTAGAGAGCTAAATTGGGCTAAAGGACAGCGAATATTTTGGCTATGTCCTCCAAGGTCAGTAAAGACTCAGGACTTAAGAGAACCTGTGCTGTGACATCCTGTCACTTGATTGAGTCCCTGACTTTCTGATCAAAGAGATTATGGGACCACAGAGGAAAGTGATTCTGCGATGTACAGTGCGCCTACGGAGAGTCACCAGGAGAGAAAATCTCTCAGGCCTTCACAGAAAGCACCTTGGTCGAGCACTGGCCGTGACTCATCCAGACGGCTGACACTGACTGAAGAGCAGGAGATGCTGCCCTTGGTTCCAAGGTGTTTCCTGAGACTTAACTGACCATTGATAGATTGCGAAAGGTTAAAATTTTTATTTATATGTGTCATTTTAACTTGGTCTTGGACATCCACTAGAAAAGTGTAACCACAAGATGTCACCTCTCGACCTGGCAAAGCTCATCCAGAAAAGGCCGAGAGATGGGAAGACAATTGGCAACCCCCTCGCTGATGCTTCGAAGGATGGCAGCAAAACAAAGAGGGAAGTGTGGAGCAGCACATTCTTTGATTAGGAATGCACTGAGGACACAAGGATTTGTTTAACCTTGAGATTATGATCCTCCTGTCTCAGCCTCTGGAGTGCTGGGATTGTAGCCAGGTCGGATTACATGTGAGAAGGGCAATCCTTTAATTATCCTTGCTAAAATGTTTGGTACCATTTGTCCTAGCTACGTTCTTGGTTCTCGCTCAGTAAAAGGTGACTGAATTTGGTATTTGAGGCTGCAGTCCGAGAGGCTGTAAGCCCCCTCATCCCAGACTTTTTGCCTCTTGGTCTTTTTTCTTACTTTTCATCCGCGGGCACCTCGTTCTCAGGACCTGACACCCTGAATAGAACGACAGGCAAGGGCACCAGGCCTCCGCCAGGAGGAGGCTGGCCCCCAGCCCATGCTCTGCCCAGCTCTCTGGGCCAAGGAAACACTGGAGCCAGCAGCCTCCCTGTACCGGCTGATGCTGTTCATGAGGCTGAGGCAGCAGTTCAAGGCCAGCCTGGGCAACTCTGGGAGACTCCATCTCAAATGGTAGTAAGTCACCTCTGGCCAGGCGTGGTGCCACACACCTGTCATCCCAGCATTCAGAAGGCTGAGGCAGGAGGACCTCTGTGAGTTGAAGGCCAAGCTGGGCTACACGGTGAGACTCTGCCTCAAAACACAAAGTCACCCCATGTGTTTGGTTCTGTGGTGCTTGGGACTCAGTCTGGGTCCTCGTGCTGCACTGGTCCACAGCCACTTTTTATTTTTTGAGACTGGGTCTTGCTGAGTCACTAAAGCCTAGGCCAGGCCCAAGTTTCAGTCCTCCTGCCTCAGCCTCTTGAGCGGCCGGGATCATAGGTGGCCACCACACCCCTGTAACGATGCCCACCTCGGCTGAGGCGGGACTGGGAGGTTAGGGCCAGCCCAACCTAACAACATGGGGACGTCGTGCCTTAAAACCCACACAGTAGGAGCACTGGGCCCCACGCAAGCCCGGCAGACAGTGCCGTCCGTCCTGTGCAGGGCCTCGGGGACTGTTGCCCCTGTGGTCACTGAGGTCCCCGCGCATGGCACCCCTGAGGGACCCTTCCCTAGCCCCCCTCCGCCACACCTCACAAGCCCATCCCAGGCCTGCAGCCCTCCTGGGACCCCAGGTCTCCTCCCTCTGGCGGTGCTGGCACTGGACCACGCTTCCGGCTGATTCACGCCAGGCCAGGGCCTGGGGCACATCCATTTCTGCCCTCGGGAAGCAGGCAGTGTGCCGCAGGGTGCACCCTGCGACTCAGCCTGGCCCCGCCCAGGCGACAGGAAGGAGGCTCAGGAATGCGGGTGGGAGGCTTTATTTCACGTGGGGAGCGGGGCGACAGGCGGGTGGGAGGCTGGTGCTGGGGGCTGGGGGGGCCGCCCCCGGCTGCGGAGAGGAGAAACTGAGGCCTGACCCTGGGGACGGGATGAGGGTGGGGAGCTGGTCTGGAGGAGCAGGGCCCCCCACTCGCGCCCTCCCTCTGGGCCGTGCCTCGCCACCCTCCCGGGGCCTCGACTCCCACTTGCCGGGCCACGAGACCCCATCCTTGCTGCCCCGGCCCGGGGGAGGGGCTAGGCCAGGGCGGGCAGTGGACAGGGAGCCTGGGGGAGGCGGGGCAGGATAGGGTCCACGGTGTGCAGAGTGTGGTGGCCACCTGGGTGGTCAGTTCCTGGCAGCGATGACCACAGAGAGAGCCACACCCCCCAGGGCAATGGCAGTCGCCCCAAACAGCCACTTCCATGGGATGGACTGTGGACAGAGACGGGGGCGGTCAGATGGCTGGAGACAACGAAAACAGCATCTCTAGCCTCAGTTCCCAAAAGGACCCAAACAGGCTCCCTGGAGCATTACCGCCTGGCCAGGCCTTTTCCACCGATCAAACTCCTACATGTGCATCAAAGCCCAATTCAAATGTTCCCTCCTGCACGACACCTTCCCTGCATCCCTCGCTCACCCAGGCACCCTTGCCCGGACACTTGGCGGGCAGCCGGCTGGGGTTGCCCAGCATCTTCCGGTACAGGGCAGTCTCTGTACTTCGCTGCGCCGCATGCTTCTTCACCAGCTTCGAGAGCTCGGCATGGATCGTCTGTGGAGGAAAAGGAGGCCAAGTGCTACACTGCCTTCCTAGGGCCAGGGGATATGCAGGCTTCCATCTGTGCCCCTCCCACAAGGGAACTGCAGCCGGGCAGGGGGCGGGGCCTGCGCTGAGATGGGCAGGAGCCGGGTGAGGATGGGGATGGCGCAGGCGTAAAATGCCACAAACCTTGTTGGAGGGCTCCAGCTTCAGCGCCGCCCGCAGGATGGGGATGGCCTCGCTGTACTCACCCTGCTGCGCCAGCACCTGGGGGGGAGGGGGGCGTGGCTGAGGAACCCCGAGGGCCTGGCCTTCGGGAAGCAGGGCTCCAAGGGTGAGCTGAGGGCCTGCCGCTTCCTCCGTGGGGCCTGGCAGTGAGGAGCCGCTAGGTGGCCCCGAGAGCAGAGTGGGCCCAAGAAGGAGCCCAAGCCGACGCGACGTCCCCGAGACACCCTGCCTGGATCCAGCTGTGCCTGAAGCCCACCACCCGGGAGCAGGCAGCTGCATGGACCAACAGCCCCTCCTTTTCATTTGAGCCTGTTCTTGCAGTGCCCCAGGGCTCCTATGGCCACCGAACAGATTCACTCCAGGATCCTGTGATGCTCTGCACACAACAGGTGCCCGACAAACGAGGGCTGAGGGAGCCCCTCGGGCTGCTCACGAACACCCAGGTGGCGACGTCCACACCTCAGTTTCTCTGGCCTAGGACTAACGGGTCCGCGGGCGCTGCAGGTGCAGCTCACGGGTGAGCGTCTGCCCAGCATCCGCAAGGCCCCAGGTTCTGGCCCTCACACTGAAAGACAAGCCCTCGGGGCCGGGGATTTAGCTCAGTGGCATTAAGCACCTGCCTGGCAAGTGCAAGGTCTTGAGTTCGATTCCAGTTCTGAACTGGACCAGGGAGGGACCTGCAGGCAGAGGCAGAGCCTGCAAAGGCTGTGGAGTGCGAGCTGGCGCAGAAGCAAGCGGGATGGGGCTGGGTGGCATGGAGAGAAGCGGGCGAGGGCAGCAGTGCAGGTGGGAAGGGGCGGGCGTCTTGGGAAGGCCCCGGTGTCCGTTAAAGGACAGGGGAGCCATGGAGGCTTCTGCACAGGGGGCAGCTACCACCAAGCGAAGGGCGGCTCCCAGTGCCCACTGGTGCCCACCTTGCCCTTGCGGAAGAGCGCCTTGATGTTGTCGGGCTGGTGCTCGAGCACCAGGCTGCAGGAGCGCAGGGCGGCACGGTAGTGGTCCAGCTTGAGCTGTGAAGCCGCGAGGTTGTTCAGACACTTGACCTTCAGCTGCAGCAGCTGCTCCTCCTCCTCGAAGGTCATGTCCACTGCGGGGGACAGTGGTCAGCAGGGCCACCCACGCTGCCCTGCCCTGCCCCGGGGCCTGTCTCCCCATCTGCCGCGCAGGCCTCAGTCACCACCTTCCGGCCTTCCCCACCGGCCTGGGGAATGCCGCGTTCAGGGGCGGAGGGCGGTCAGGGCGCGGTCACCTTTGGCGCTGGAGGTGATGGCCTTGATGGCCAGGTCATAGGAGTTGGCGGCCAACACGAAGTCCGCACGCTGGTAGTGGGCATTGCCGCACTCGCGCTTCCGGTTGGCCAGCGCCACGCGCTCCTGGCCCGTGAGCAGCTCCAGGTCAGGCCCGTCCACCGCCGTCTTCAGGGTCACCTCCAGGCACAGCGCCGCGTGCGGGGGAATGTAGGGGCTCCTGCTGAGGGGGGCGGGTAGGTGCCACTTAGGGCCGGCGGCCCCAGACCCACAGCCAGTCCCCAGCGTTACCCCTCAGTCCCACGCGCGGTAGGTGGCCGTCCCCGGCAGCCGCGGGCCTTGGCTGGTGGCTTCCTTCCCCGAGCCTGGGTTCCCCCTCCTGTGCACAGGTGGGCAGAGGCGGGAGGGAGAGGCCACAGGGGACCCTGGGCGGCGCTCACCTGCCCTGGGGTCCGTAGCAGTACTTGGAGTCAGCAGTGACCATGGCCGTCTCACCCACATCCATGAGGGGCACACTGAGGTCCAGGGCCTAGGGGCAGGGCCGGCGGGGCCGGTCAGGTGCGCCAGGTCCCCAGCGTCCCAACCCCACCACGCCGCCCCGGCCCACCTGGATGACGTCGCAGTCGCCCAGGGTGAAGGCCAGCTCAGGCTCCTCCTGCACCCGCGTGCCGTTCTCCAGCGACATCTGCAGCTGCACCGTCACCACCTGGCCCTTGGTCGGGCGGCCCGAGCCAGGCGGCCCCGGGACCAGCGTCTTCTTCCTCAGCAGCCCGTTCCCTGCCGGGGTGGGTCCAGGCCCGTCAGTGCGCAGCTGGCAAAGGCGGGCACGATCTCCCTGGCCTGTTTGTGTGTGCTCATCCAGGTGTGTGCACACCTGCGTGCGTGTGTGCACGCATGCGTGCTGCTGGCGACAGACCCAGGGCCTCACGCACACCTGACAAGTATTCACCACGGAGCCATACCGCAGCCCTGATGGGGCAGGTGTGGGGTGAAAAACGGCTGCTCCGGGCGTTGTCTTATGAAAATTAAAAGCGAGGCACGGTGGTACCCACCTGTGATCCCTATGCTCTGGGAGGCTGAGGCAAGAGGTTCACAAGTTCCAGCCCAGCCTGGGAAGTTTAACTACTTAGTGAGACCCTGCCTCAAAAAAAAAAACAAAAAAAAGAAAAAGAAAAAGAAAAATAAGCTGGGAATATAGCTTTGTGTGAAAACTCTGGATTTAGTCATAGGATCACAAAAAATATATGGCAAGACACCTTTTAGTTCATATGTCAGCCCTGGGACCCTGGGCCTCAGCTTACCCAGACATGAAATGGGGGCAACTGCGTGGTCTGCCTGTGGCACACACAGCTTTTGCTGGGTTCACAGAGCCCCGGCCTCACTGAAGGCACCTTGGATTTATTTACTTATTTTTTGGGGGGAGGGGCGTTTTCCCAGTACCAGGAATTGAACTCTTGACCTTGCGCTTGCCAGGCAGGCGCTGTGCCGCTGGGCTAAGTCCCCAGCCCCGGCACCTTGGATTTAAATATGGAACACAGGAACTTCCTGCGATCCACAGGAGCACCACCACCCACGCAGCCTCCAAACCGAGGCGCCCTCCACACCCAGGTCATCGGAATCAGCCAATGCCCACGGAGCACCAGGCCTAGTGCACTCAGCAGCCCCGCAATTGAGACCGGTCTGCCCTGTGAAGAGATCGGGAGCCCCGTGATGACCGCCGTGCCCTCATGGCGGCTGCTGGAGCGATGTCCGCACAGGCTGATGTGACGGCACAAGAACGAAGCACACCGCAGGCAGGTGACTGACCAAGGGACACACAGCCTGCACCTTCCTCAGGGCGCTCCCTGGGCTGCTGCTGGACAGAGCTCAGGGGGTTAGCAGAGTGACAGGGCCTGTGGTCACCCACGTCCCAACACGTCCCTAAACTGTCACATTCCATTGGCCTAAAACATTTCACAGGAATGAACCAACCCTAGCCTAAAGCGTAGACAGGGACTGACGCAGCCATCCTTATTCCAGAACGTTCTGGTATACTCTAGAAGATTCTAGACTATTTCAAATCTTCACGCCGTTCCCCAACTTGAATATTGCTGGCATCTAGGCGGGGGATCCCAGCAGATGCCTGGGTCTTACAGTCCCCGGACACGAATGATGGCCCTGTGGACTGTGCCCCTCCACTGTGCAACCCTGGGTTTCTCTGTTGTTGTCTTTCTGAGACAAGGTCTCACTATACAGCTCAGGCTGGCCTTGAACACTCTGTAGCCCAGGCAGGCCGCAAACTCGCGATGATCCTCCTGCTTCAGCCTCCTGAGTGCTGGGGTTACAGGCGCGCGGCACCACACCCGGCCACCCTGCAACTCTGGCCAAACCATGTCCTCTCAGGACCTCCATTTCCTTATCTGGAAACTAGAAGAGGCCTTGAGTCTTCATTTTCTCTTGCGTTTCTGCAGTGCTGGGCTTGGAATCCAGGCCCTCACACAGGACAGGCGCCCTTGACCACTGCCCGGACGCCAGGGTCAGACCTCGGACGGCACCTGGTGCAGACAGACAAACATCGCTGCACACATAGGTGACAACAGCCTGCAGGGGGAACAGTGAAGCAGCTTCCAAGCCTCTCAACAGCCAGGGAAGTCGCGCGACCTCCGGCAGGTACCGAGGCCGCTCCGAGTCCATCGTGCTCTCTGTACCACAGGGCGGGCATTGACGAGACATCGTTGGAAGAATAAAGTAAGACGCAGCAGCGGCCGGGTGCAGAGTTAGCACTCAGGAAGTACTACCTGGTGTTATTTTTAAGAGCAATGTTTTTCATTAATAGTACCTTTCTGTGTGTGATAGCGGGGATTAAACTCAGAGCTTTCACACTGAGCTACAAGCCCAAACACTCCCCATTTTTAAAAAATTTTTATTTTTGAAGCACAGTGCTTCTGAGTTGCCCAATCTGGCCTTCAATTTTTTTCTTTTTTGGGGATGGGGTCTTTTTGAGACAGGATCTCACTATGCAGTTCAGGCTGGCCTTGAGCTCACTTTGTAGCACAGGCTGGTCTCAAACTCATAGCGAGTATTCTCCTGCTTCAGCCTCCGGAGTGCTGGGATTACAGGCGTACGCCACCACGCCCGGCTCCGGCCTTTGATTTTCGATGCCCCCACTTCAGCATCCCCAGTAGCTGGGATCCCAGGCCGGCACCATCACACCCAGCTTATTTTGTCCCCTTCTTTGCAGACTTTTATGCACACTTAGGACATAAATAAGAGGCTGGGTGCAGCTCAGTGGCAGAGTGCTCACCTAGCACGCATAAGGCCTTGGCTTTGCTCCCCAGCACTACCAAAAACATTTAAAAAACTTGTCTCCCCCAAATTTACTGATGGCAGCTTACAGTTATAAAGCTGCTCAAGAATGGTAACAAGAGGGGCTGGGGATTTAGCTCAGCGGCAAAGCCCCTGCCTGGCAAGTGTAAGGTCGTGAGTTCAATTCCTGGTACCAGAAGAAAAGACCAAAAAAAAAAAAAAAGGATGGTAACCAGCACAGGAGGGATGAAGAGAACAGGGTCTCGCCCGCCTGTGTGATGTCAGGACATGCTTGTGAGGGGCCCTGCACGTGTCAAGACGAACAACGGGCTGGTGCTGCAGGCTCACTGTGTCACGCTGGGTGGGTGACTCAGCCTCTCTGGGCTGCTATGAACAGATATGACAACAACACAGCACGTGTCTATGCGCGCGCATGCACAAGTGCGCACACATACGTGTGCATGTGTGTGAATGAAGCTCACCATCGGGCCAGCAGTCACCAACTCCAGCCCGAACAGCACAGACGGGAAACGCGTCCAGGGGACAGGAGGTCCGAAGGTCACACCTGGAGCGGGCTGTTGAGCTCTGCGGACCAACCCCGGCAACCCGGCTTACCTAGAATGTCCAGCCACTCCTCAGGGGCTGGGGCTGGCGTAGGCGCAGGCTCCGCGGAGGCCAGGAACTCTCGGGCCAGCGCTCCCGGCTGCTCAGCCTCCTCTGCTGGGGACTGTCCCATGTCCTCGAGCGGTGGCAGCTCGCTCAGGTCATCCTCCTCTTCTTCCTCCTCTTCCTCCTCCTCCTCCTCAGCATCTGCGTCCTCAACCCCGTCCAGTACCTCGAAGTCCTCGAGTGGGGGAAGCCCAGCAGGCGGCACGGCGGTGGGCTCAGAAGGCTCCTCTGCACAGGACGCCATGCTGCTGGGGGTCGGGAACTGGCCCTGGGGGATAGATGGGGTTGAGGATCCCACATGGCCCTCAAGTCCCCGCTGCAGCCGTTCCCTGTGCTGCCACTGTGATCCTGGAGCTGTGGGCCTTGGCTATCTTATCTGTACAATGGGCCTCACTACAAGCCTGGCTTGTTGAAAGAAGTTAACCATCCAAGCATCAAGCTCAGATGATGTTAGCTATCATTACAGCTAATTATTATTAAATCACCCCAGACACCCCTGGAGATGGGGGGACCTCCCCGCTACATTCTAGAAAAAAAGGAGATCCAGGCCCAGAGAGGCAGTGCCATTAGCCCAAGGTCACAGAGCAAGCCAAAAAAAAAAGCAAGGGCAGGTCTGAGACCCGGGGTTCCCGACCTTGGAGCTTCGTCTGCTTAAACAACAAGAAAAGGCTGCTGGGATGCATTTGGGGGGGCAGCCCCCGAGGCCCCAGGGAAGCCATTTTTACAGCCTCTGGGCTACCTGGGGCATGGGATCTTCACAGGGCCTTTCCATGTCTGGCCTCCCGAAGCGATCTGCCTCCCCCAGGAGCCGGCAGGACCCCCGGCACCCAGCTACCCCAAGGCGACAACCTTCCACACTCCACGGTGCCTTCTCCAAGTAGGGGCGTCCGCACGGCCTCTCCCTTGCCCCAGGCCTTCGCGGAGCCTCCAGGCCGCGGCTTTCCCATCACAAACCCAACCCAGACCCCAAACTCAGGGGGCCCTCCTCAGCCAGCCTCACCTGCGGGCTCCTTCCGGGCTCCCCACCCCCACAATCCCCTGCGCCGCACTCCACGGCCTCCCGCCCACCCCTCGCGCCCCTGCTCCGGCCGGCGCCCCCGGCCACGCGTCGCCCCGTGAACGCCCGCTGTCCCGCCGCCT